GCAATGAGATCCCACAGAAAAGGACACCATGGCTCATAGGAAAGGTTGGTTTCTGCCGTGGATTAGTCCAGGGCTTGGCAGTTTTCCAGCTAAGAACCAGATTGAGGTGTTTTAGGTTTGGGAGCCACTTGTCCCTGTCACAGCTGCTCTAGTTGGCTACTGTAGTGCAGAAGCAGCGACAGCGATATTTCAATGAAAGGGAGCTGCGTTCACCCACGGGCTGGCAGTGGGCTTGCTCCCAGCTGCCGCTCCTCCCTCCTCTACTTTCACAAAAGGTCCGCATGGCTCTTCACATATGCAGCACGGGGCTGTGGGACATGCTTTCAACTGTGCTTTAACAGATGAGCTGCAAATGTTCTGCGCTGCACGCTTCTGCTAAGTCTTGGTAAAAGACTGGCCGGGGGATGGATGGAACACATGGAAAGGAGAGGAGCACACTGCCAGCAACACACATCAGTCACCAAGGTGGGGACGAGGGGCTCACTACAAATGCAGCCTTCTCGGTTCGCCCTGTCCTACTAGATGAGACCTCTGATGCCTCCTAAGGCAAGCACAGCCACCATGCACACTGTGACCATCACCCAGACTGGCTGCAGCCTGTCCTGGAGAGGAGGGAAGCACACACACTCAGGAGTGTGTGTCTGTGGGTTGCAGGGTGTGAATGCGGGCACTGTCTAGTCCCTGTTCTCTGCGCCCTGCTTCCTGAAAGCCATGGATCGAGCAGTCTCCCCAGGGGGAAACCCCTGCTGTAGAGCCAGCAGCCTTGGCCTGAGACCTCTGAAACCATGAGCCAAATAAAGCCTGTTTCTCTGAGGCAAGGGCGCCGCAGGGGCTCTGCCCAGCCGCGGGAAGCTAGCAAATGGTTTTTTTGGACAGTGTGCCTCGGGATGGCCCCTGGACAAGGCTAAGGAGTTGGCAAGCTGCTGTCAAAGTCTTCCCGACAAAAGCACGGACAGCAGATGCTCCTCAAGAGGGGTTCAGGAGCTCCCCCAACCTTGGTGCAGTTCTCTTTCCTGCATAGCTGTACAGGCCTGTCTCACTGTTAATCTCTCAGGCAAAAAATTAACAATGGGCAGGACAGTATTCTGCCTTGTGCCCTTAGTAACGGCCTTCTACAGGGAGACGTCCTGAGCCGAGCACTGAGGATGGCACTTCCTCCACATTGGCTTTTTGTGCGGATGGGGATCAAACCCAGTTTCTATATGCTTGGCAAACACTGTCACTGAACTAAATCTCTGGTGCTATACATTGTTATTTTAAATCATCTTGTGAAGGTGTGTGTGTGTGTGTGTGTGTGTATATTTTTTTTTTCTCTCTTTTTAAAATGTTCTTATATTTAATAGGGCTTGCTGGGTTAGCTTAGGTTGTTTAAGTACCTGCATAGGCAAACCTGGTCAGGCTTATGGGACCACAGTTTGATCCCCAGTTCCACATGCCACACCACATCCACCCTTATGGCAGCCTGAGCCAGCCAAAAATAAATGAAGTAAAATAAAATAAAATAAGAGCCGGGGAGATGGCTCAGTAGAATAAGTGCTTCTCTGGCAAGCGTAAGGGTCTGAGTTCAATCCCCTGTTCCGCAAAACAAAACAAAATAATAATAATAATAATAATAATAATAAAATAAATTTGAGTGTCTTTAAATAAATAAATAAAATAAAATAAAATAAAATAAAATAAAATAAAATGTTCTTATATTTGAGATAGGATCTCACTAAGTCACCCGGGCTGGGCTCAAACTTCCAATCCTCCCACCTCAGCCTACAGAGTACTAGGATTACAAGTGTGTCATTATGCCAGTCAATTTTCTTATTTCAAGGAAACTGAGGCACCAAAATCTTAAAAACAGCATGACAACTCACAGACAAATTGTCTGACACAGGACCGAGGGCCAGCTGTGCAGTGCGGCAAAGCGCTAAGCAGGGAAGGCGCTGACTGAAGAGGTGCCCAGTGCGATTCCCAGGACGGCGCTGCTCTGAGACTCTCCTAGTGCTCTGGCCCTGCCTTGGGCTGGCCTGTACTGCAAGCCACGAAGCTGGTGGGAAACCCACACTTTCTGAGGGCTTCTTGAACTGCTCTGGTGGCCTTATTTAAAGACAAATAGTGTCTCCCCGTTTCAAGCTCATTTTCAGCGGGCTGAACATAGTGCAAGGCTGACGAAGTGCGTGGAGTTGAGAACACTGATTTTCCCACTCTGGGAAAGTAATGCCGGCCTCAGGCCACAGCACTCCAGGCAGCGCCTGCGCCTCCAGCTGGCGCAGACACAGCCCTTCAGAACGCACCTCTGGCCTCACTCACCTGCTGTCCTTCCGTCTTTCACTGTCATCTAGCTGCCCTTGCAGAAGCCAGGTTTTCTCTTTTAGCTGCTGGTTTTCCAGGCGCAGTTTTTCCATCTCACACAAGTGCTCCTGAGGAGACACCAAAGCAAGTCTCTCAGAACACTCATGACAGGCGGTGTGAGCGCCCCCAAGGCCATGAGTGAGCTACATGGTGCTCCTCCAGCTCCTCCTGCCCATGGAGCGCCAGCTGGGTATCTGGGGAAAATGTATTCGTATCATATAACCCATTAAAATTGCACTATGTGGAATTCTTTTTTTTTTGCAGAATTCTTTTTAACAGATTTAATTAAAATGGGGCCGGGGAGATGGCTCAGTAGAATAAGCCCTTCCCTGGCAAGCGCAAGGGCCCGATTTCAATCCCTGGTTCCGCCAAAAGAAAAAGAAAAATATTTAATTAAAATAAGGAAAAAAACAGACACCACAGAACAACTCTCAAACCAAAACTGGACCCTAACTTGAAAAGCACAAGGCCAGGGATATAGCTCAGAGGCACAGCACCTGCCTGGCAAGCATAAGGTCCTGAGTTTCATTCCTGGTACCACTCCCTTCCCTCCAAGAAATAAAAGCACGAGCCTACCATCCAAAAGAAACAAACCCTTGTGCAGGAAGCACGCTCTTTGAGGCTTACTTCTATGTGCCTGCAGGTGGTCTCTAAGCTGACACTGCTGCCTGCACCTGTGTCTCACTGCGCCGGTCTGGGTAACAGCCACACTGTGCACAGCCTGCTGAGAGCTGCTCGAAGGAAGGGATGCAGGGAGCCCCTCCGACAACAGGGAGACTCAGGTGACGCCCTGTCTGTGCTTGCCACCCCTCGGCCACAGGCATCAGGCTGTGCTCCTCAGAGCAAGGTGCGGGTGAGACGACCTCTGCGGAGCACCTGTCCTGCCCACCCACATCACCCTCCTGGGTCCTCAGCCACCACCACCCTTATGCAGCACACTTGGTCACAATCTGAGAAAAGGGAATCATCAGAGGCAAACACAAGTCTCCCTCATACCTACAGAACACCTATAGATGAACCAGAAAAGGCCCAACAGAAAAATGGTGAAAGGTATAGTTCACAGGAAGAGAAAAACAAAGGGATGGACCTTGTCTTGTCAGGCAGGCACTGTGCTGCTGAGCTATATCCTCAGCCCTCATCTTTACTTCTAAGAGTAGAGATGCAAATTTAAAACCACACCGAGATCGCTAGCCTTTACGCTGACAGAGATCCAGAAGTCCGAAGGCATGAGGGGGCGAAGTTTCAGGAAATAGCCCCTCTTCTGTCCACCTGGTCCACACCGTGTGACACCACTGTGGAAAACCACCAGGGCCACGGAAAAGATGCTTACAGACTTGGTTATATAGGTACTGAAAACTGTAGAAAAGGAGGAAACTGGCTACTCCAGAAGCCTCAGGGACAGCAGAATAGCAAGCCAGGGGCCAGGGCTGGGAGGAAGACTTTTCTGCCCACCTTCAGCTCCACATCCTTGAATTTGTATCCTCAGAAACCATCAAGAGGATCCTGCTTACTTGGTAAACTTTAAATTACTGACAAGAATTAACCAGGTACCTTCATTCTGAGGATTTCAGCATTTTTGACTTCTCTGTCTTCATTTAGCTTTGTTACAAGCTGTTGCAAGAAAGTCTTCGAGGCTCTCCCATCTTCTATCTCTTGCTCTTGCGTTTCTAGCAGTTTGGCCAAATGTGTTTGAAAGTGAGGCGGTGTTTTAGGGCTCTAAAAATAAGATCACATCCTATCTAAATATCTGACCAACATCTGCTGCTATAAAGAATCCATGTTAAATCTCTACACTGACTGCATAACACAAACTTTTTAAATGTTTCTGCCAAGCACCAGCATGCACCACTGGCCCTACCACAGGCCAGCAAGCCCACTATTTTAATCCTTATCCACGTAAAATAAGTGAGAGCAGTGCTTCCTTCAAGAAGCATTGCTAGTGAAAAAAAATTTTTTTTTTAAATAAAAAGACAAAAGTAGGGCCTTTAAATTAATTTCATGGGGCTGGGGAGATGGCTCAGTAGAATAAGTGCGTCCCTGGCAAGTACAAGGGTCTGAGTTCAATCTCCAGTGCCGCCCCCCGCAAAAAATAATAAACACAATAAATAAAATTAATTAATTAGTTTTGTAATCTTATCATCCACAACCCTGTAGTCCTGAAATGTGTTCTCCTTTGTTGTTGGTTTTGGAAAGTACCTGGGGGTACTCAGCAGCCGAACTCATCACATGTTCGAGCTCCCTCATTTTGAAATTATATGCGTTCTTCTTCTGTTCCACTTCCTCTTTCTTTTGGGTTAGCTGGAAGAATTGAAGAGTGAAGCGTTACAAGTTAGCAGATAAAATGGAGTGCTTGGTCCATTGAGCAAAGATGAGCTTCTCCACATGAAAACCCGAACCCCAGTGCAGCTGGACAGCAGGCCGCGAGCTGCACACCGGCAGGGTCAGGGGAGAAGAGCCCTTCCTGCTGCTGCCCGGACGCTACCTGTAAGCCCTCGTGAAGGCTGGAGGGAGGCCCTAGCTCCTGGAAATCAGAACCAGAGCGACCAGCAGCCGTACTCCCAAGGAACCAAAGAAATGCCCTGAAGAGACATCTGCACTTCTGTGTCCATCACAAAGTTATGGAGGGCTGGTGAGATGGCTCAGTGGTCTAAAGCACCTACTTAGAACAAGCTTAGCAAAGCACAGGGACCGCGGTTCAATCCCCAGCACCACATGCCAGCCAGCCCCGCCCCCTGGTGGGCTGAGCTGGCCACACACACACACACACACACACACAAATCCCCAGCACCACATGCCAGCCAGCCCCGCCCCCTGGTGGGCTGAGCTGGCCACACACACACACACACACATACAAATAAACTTAAAAAAAACAACAACAAAGTTATGGAGTAACCCTGTCCCTTGGCAGAAGGACAGATAAAGAAAATGGAATACACACTCATAACTGAATACCACTTGGCCTTAAACAAGCCACAGATTTTCTCACTGAGCAGCAATGAAGAAGCTGGAGGATGTCATGCCAATGGAAGTAAGGCAGGACAGGCAGGCAGGACAGGCAGGCAGGCAGGCAGGGCCTCTCTGGTGCGCCATCAACTGCCAATCAGGTGAACTGAGAAGTGCCCAGGAAATGGGCAGGTGTGTCCAGGCATCTGGGAATGAGCTTCCAGAAGAGACGGCACAGGGCCCTGCAAACTGATGGGGAACCCACCCTGAGGGCCAGGGGTGCCATCCACACCCGCCCAAAGGGCAGGGTGCTCCTCCTGCTGCTGGCCGAACACCCAGACCTGGAGTAGGCCAGGACTTCAGCCCCAGTTGTGATTTTTCTATCAGTTGTCGGTCACAGCTGACCAGGACACTCTCCCATGGGGAATCTAAAAACGTCAAAGAGAGGCAGAAAGCAGAACAGTGGCTACCAGACAGGGAGCAGGGATGAGAGATATTGGTCAAAGATGGAAGGGTTTAGTAGTTTCTGAGATGTTAAAAATAATGTGTAATGTATATTTCAAATCTGCCGAGAGTGGATTTGAAATGTTCAAGCCACCACCAAGCCACGTGTGCAAGGGATGGAAAGCTACACGTCTTTGTTATTCCATGACACACACACAGAAAGCCACCACAGGGTAACACATCAGGTGCACACAGTTGTTACTTATCAATTAAGAAAGGGTCTTTCTTTGAACACACTCTTTCTCTTCACACACATGAGCTTCTTCAGGAATGAAGAAATATGCTTTTGACACTATTTTTTTCAGGACTTGAGAGAGCAGTAAGATATTAAAAAAAAAAAAAAACAAACAGCATTTTCGGAGGTAACACACTGCAAAATCTGGGCTGCTTTCTTTGCTTCTCTTGGAATTTCTTTGCTTCCCCCAGAATTTTTTTTTTTAAATATATTTTTTTACATTTATTTATTTATTGTGTGTGTGTGTGTGTGTGTGTGTGTGTGTGTGTGTGTGGACACTCAGCCCACCAGGGGGCGGCGCTGGCTGGCATGTGGTGCTGGGGGATTGAACCGCGGTGCCTGTGCTTTGTTAAGCTTGTTCTAAGTAGGTGCTTTAGACCACTGAGCCATTTCTCCAGCCACGCCCCAGAATTTATTTATACCTGTTTTCACTTTTTAAATTTCACAAGTAGCAACAGGCTTACTGAGGAAAAATACAGAACATAAAATAGCAGCAGCAGCCCAAAAAGGCGACACAAGTGAGCCACAGCGCCGCTGTGCCCAGAGCCCAAGCCTCCCATCCAGCAGGGCCACGCCGGGAGGGAACAGCCAGCCAGAGACCCCGTCCCCGTGTGCCGCTGGCCCCGCACGCTTCCAGGGGCACACACAGCCACCAGCCTCACAGGGAACTGTGACTGCCCCGCCGCTGGGCCCTGCAGCCACCGTGAGGAACATGCGCGTGCCCTCACCTCGTGCTGAAGTTCCTGGATCAGGGCCTCCTTCCTGGCCAGCTCCTCCTGCGCGGACTGCAGCAGCCCTGAGTGCTTGGAGGAGGCCTCTGTGAGCATGTTCAGCTGCTCGGTGGCATGAGCCAGATCCTCACAGAGCATGTCTCTCTGGTACAGACAACCCCAGAAAGGAAGAGTTTTCAATTATAATAATCCAATTAAAGCTCACAAGTCATTACCATGTACACTTTCTGAAAGGTTAAATCCTTTTTGTTTTGAGACAGGGTCTCTCTAAGTCACTAAGTTGCCCAGGCTGGGCTTGAAGCTGTGATTCTCCCGCCTCAGCCTCCTAGATAGCCAGGATGCCAGCGTATGGCACCATGCAGGCTCTCTAAGTTCAAAGTGGCCACATGTCAGCACGTGCCAGAGCCCCCTTTCCTGGGCCTCTCTGCTCCCCTGTGGAGGTGCACAGAAGCAGGCAGGCCTGCAGGCTGGCAGCTGGATGCCCTCTGCCTACTTCTTCCCTCACAGCCCAATCTGGCTGGATCTCGACCTCCACCAACAGCGCTCCTCCACAGCCGCTCTTTCCAGAAGCGCTTCTGGGCCCTGACCGCGGGGTCTTCTGCCTGGCTCGATGCCTATGATGGTCAGTTTCCTAAAGTCCTGTTCCTGGCCTCAAGGTGCGTCACCCTGGCCGGCTCTCCCCACTGCTGCTGTGCCAAGTCTCCTGCCCTCAGAATCTGCACTGACACCACCTCTCTTGGGAAGCTTTCCAGAACTCTCGGGCAGAATCCTCTTGCCCCCTCCTTCTTGTGCTCCTGGCCATCTTGTACATCATGTTTGGGTGAGAAAGCAGGACAGGGGACAGCCTTTCAGTCATCCTTGTAGGCCAGGCCAGGCACAGTAGGTGGACACACTAAATGTTTGTTATTTCACATGGAGAACAGCTATAAAAAAATCCTCATTTCTAAATCAAAAGCAAGGGCCGGCCAGATAGCTCCGTGGATTACAGCGCCTGTTTAGGCAGACACAGGGGCTGGGGGTTCAATCCTGGGCCTGCTGTGCTGGCCCTACCCCAAGGGCACACTGAGACTGCAATTGAAACTGAGTGTGGTGGCGCACACCTATAATCCAAGAGCTTGGAAGGCTAAAAAACAGGAGGATCACTATGAGTCCGATCTAGGTAATGAGACCCTGTGGACTCTGTACTAAATACATTATATATATATATATATATTTTTTTTTTCCAATCAATCAATCAATCAATCAATCAATCAAATGCAGAACAGTACACACGGTGGCTAGCCCTCTGTGCGCAAGTGCGAAAGATTAGTCTATGTCACTGGAAGGACACAGCAGAAACCGGTAGTACAGGAATGCCCACGGGATGCTGCTTCTGAATTCCGTGCCAGCGGGCCTTCACCCTGCAACAGGTACACTGACACCCACAATGAGGACAACTGGAACACGTTCTTCAGCTAAAATATAAGAGATACTGGAAACAGTGCAGCAGCTCTTTCTTTCTGACCTGTTGCCACCTCTGTGTCTGTGTAAACAGGCTCCACACTGACCTCTCACACAGGGTCAGTGACATAGCTTACTACGCGGTGGCACCAAATGCAAACAGACCAGCTGCCCACAACATAATGACTTTGGTGTCAGGCCCTAACTGCCTGGCCTCTCCAGGGAAAAGGGACTCTAACTATTCTGCTTATTCGCCCTAACCTTCTGTACATAAATACGCATACTGGCAAAGAAGGAGCAGGCCAACAAACAGGCATGCCATTACATCTACCTCGATGTCGTCAGACAGTTTTCTCAGCCGAAGGGTTTCTTTCAGCTCCAGAATTTCCACCTCCTGCCTCTGGATCAACCCTTGGCTTTCTTCTGTGGTAGCCAAAGCAGAGTTGTATTTGCACTACAAGAAAGAGGGTCATGATGCAGGAGTTGTCTGTTTTCTTTTCTTTTTTTTTTACAGTTTCAACAAATAACACACTGCATATATTCTTCTTAGTGGTTAATTGCTGTACAAGATGCGGACTTGTGATCCTATTTACAAACACCATTAGAACAAATCATTCTATTCATTAGGAGAATGCAACTATATATCTGTTCTAACCACATTGAATACACAGATACAAATGGACATTCATCTGTATACCCTATTCTTTCGAAGTTCCGTTATTGAAGTCTATTTTCTTGTAGGTTAAAATAACTCAGTGTGGGGGCTGGAGAGATGGCTCAGTGGTCTAAAGCACCTACTTAGAACAAGCTTAGCAAAGCACAGGGACCGCGGTTCAATCCCCAGCACCACATGCCAGCCAGCCCCGCCCCCTGGTGGGCTGAGCTGGCCACACACACACACACACACACACACAAATCCCCAGCACCACATGCCAGCCAGCCCCGCCCCCTGGTGGGCTGAGCTGGCCACACACACACACACACACACACACAAATTTTAAAAAAAACCTGTGGTTTGTATTTTATGGTCATATTGGGTTTAACACAGATTAATTTAATAAATCTGTGCTAATGAAGGAATGAAAGAAAAAGCAAAGTCCCAGGATAACAACAGAAGAACATTGGGTTGTCACTTTCGTCAGGAGACGTTAGGGAATGTGCTCTGCTTAGGGCACAGCACTGACACAAATGGGGACCAGCATAGGGACCCAGGCAGAGAAGGCACTGATATACCCTGAGGGGAGGGACAAGTGGAACCCCGGGGGTATACCCGTTCTCTACACTAGCATCTCTCAGTTTAACTAAAGTGGGTTATTGTTTTCCTGAAACAGCTAAGGCGACTATACAGGCCTGAGCCTCATGGGTAACTCCCAGCTTGCTTCTTCCGTGGTGTGGATCAGCAGCTCCAAGGCAGACAACGCTGGGACACAGGAAACGCTGCAGAATCAGATACTCCAAGTACTGTTCCAACACGCTGACACGCTAACCACTACACTGTTCTGCAGGGCAGTTAATGTGGGCCAAGTACCAGTTCTGGAACTCACACTCATGTCCTCCAGCTCTTCCCTGAGGGTGCTGATGGTCTCTGCTTTGTCGCACACCGATGCTCTGAGCTCCTGGATCTGGTCTGTGAGGTCAGCTATAGCTTCCTGAGGAGGACAGAAGCGGATTTTCATACCCACAGACATTAAGATCATCTTTAAATGATAAGCCATTTTTCTTTCCTAATAGCAATCAATTTTAAACCTGTTGTGGTAGCCTATAAACTCAGCACCCTGGGAGGCTAAGGTAGGAGGATCAGAAATGCAAGTCTCAATTGAGCAACTTAGAGACTCTGTAACAACAAAATAAAAAATAAAAGTTTTGGGTTTAATTCCCAGTATAGAAAAAAAGAGCAATTTTATTGTGGTGAAATATCACATCCTGTTCTATTATAGTATCAACTTATGTTTAATGGCTTATTGTACTTTATTTAATTAGCTGCATGGTTTTATTTATTTATTTTGAGGGCGTTTTCAAGGCAGGGTCTTACTATTGTAGACCAGGCTGGCTTTGAATTCACAGCAGTCTTGCCTTAGCCTCCTGAGTGCTGCGATTACAGGCCCGCACTTCCACACTGGGCTAGTTGTTTTGGAATGCATAAGGTCTAGATAAACAAGGCTCTACATTACCTTGATTTGTGAGTGGCACATTACTTTTATTATTCTAGATAAAGTTATTATCAAGGATTTGAGAATTTGTATCATGTATTTAACCATCAATGAAATAGGGCTGGGTATGGTGGCACGTGTTTGTAATCACAGCACTTGGGAGGCTGAGGCAAGAGGATTACTATGAGTTTGAGGCCAGCCGGAACTACATAGTGAGACCTTATCTCAAGAAAAAGGTCAACGATATAGAGTAAGCACTGTAGTCAAACCAGCAGCGTGTGTTTTACAGACATTGCCATCTAAAGCATTAGAGTAGTAGTACTTGAAGTTATATGGAAAATTAACTGAAGTGGCAGACCGTACTCTCCAGCCCCTCTGTAACACAAAGACAACACAGCCTAAATGCCAAAGTAAACAACAGCTCTCAGACTCCCTGCGGGGACAAGACAGGGCCAAAACCTGCAGTGTCGAGCGGCACTTGCAGGAGGGAGCTGCTACCCACCTACCTTGTCAGCATCTCTACATTTTTCCAAAGAACTGGTCACTTTTTCAGCAGCAAGCAAGCTTTCTTCTAGTTTCTGTATTTCTGCCACCTAGAAAGAAAACAGGCATTTTAGAAAAAGAATTAAATGAGAAAGTTAACTACACATGCATTTAAAAAAAGGCTGTTCGGGCTGGTGAGATGGCTCAGTGGTCTAAAGCACCTACTTAAAACAAACTTAGCAAAGCCCAGGGACTGCGGTTCAATCCCCCAGCACCACATGCCAGCCAGCCCTGCCCCCTGGTGGGCTGAGCTGGCCACACACACACACACAAATAGATAAAATTTTAAAAAAACAAAAAAAAGAATTATTAAAAAAATAATTTAAAAAAAGCTGTTACTTTTTTTGTTGTTGTTTACAGTATACATTAATTCCCAATGCACATTAATTCCCATTCACTCAGTGACAGACTAAAATGTACATTCTTTCATAAGCCAGAACATCTATTATCCCAATAATACAAAAAGAAAACAGATACAAACTTAGTATTAACAGACTTCCCTAATTAAAATTATAAAACTATTATTTCCACTCCACCCTTCGGCTGAGTTCTATTAATATAACATCTGCCCTTCTTAATCCTTCTCTTATGAAAAGCATCACTCCCTGGTCACTCCAACCAAGCCTGCTCCTCCTGCTGACCTCCCCACCTATACTCAAGAACTATTAACAAGACACCTTTTTGTATTTCTCTGGAATTAATCTCTTCTTCATTAGAGTTCTCTCCTGCAATTCCATTTCTTCTAAGTGTGTCATGTGGGATTTTGGCTGTTCTGTCCCGGTGTTTTCTTCTTCAGTCGGTGGTAATAGCTTTACACTTGTTTGCTTTTGTAGTTCTTCTCTCGTGGTCATAGTCGTTTTCAAAGTAGTATAAATGGGGCTCTTAGTCTCTTTCCATTCAATAGCAATAGGCTAAAACGTGCACACACAGTTTGGTGTCGAGACTTTATGGCTGACAACTCCTTTAAGAGCGTTCCTGGATTTTTCTCTCCTGCTAAACCATGATGATTAGACTTGATTTCATATTCCAGCCTGTACTGAATATAATCCAGATCAGAGCCAGCTTTCTGGAACATCAGCTCCAGCTTATCAACTTCCACCTCCATGTTGAATAATTCTGTTTTTCTATATTACTGTATCTAAGCTAAGACTAATACTTGAAAATGATAAATTGCACTGAAAGACAATGATTTCTGTGGGCTTTTTGAAGAGACCAACAAATTCTAAGATTATGGTGATATGGGAGTTAGAAAAATAAAAGTTAAAAGAAACACCACCCTGCAGGCATGGTGGCGCCTACCTGTAGTCCTAATTCTCTGGAGATTGTGCCAGAAGGATCTCAAGGAGTTCAAGGCCAGCTTGTACTACACAGTGAGTCCTAAACCAGCCCAGACCAAACTACCTGGGTTCAATTTCCAGAATCACACATGCATACACACACACACTCACACCCCCCGAAACACAGTAACAGCACAAAAAATTCCATGCAAGATGGCGATTCTAATACTGAAAATTAAAAAAAAATTAAAGTCAACCTAATTAGATACCGAGTATCAAGCTCAACTTCAATTCCACAGTCAGAATAGGAAGAAATATACCTGATGCTCAAACTTGGCCATCTCTCTCTGTTTCTCCTGATGAGCGGCCTCAAGAACTTTTAAGATTTCTCTGAAATAAAAAAATTACTTTTTACCTGACTTTATTCAGTGAACACAGGAACTGAGTCTGTTAATTCAGATTTTCTACCCCCGCCCTCAGTTTGGTTATGGATTCAAGAACCCCATGAACGCCACAGAAGTGTTCTACAACTGAGCTACCCCCCAGCTCAAAATACATCTCCACAGGAATCAGCAATAAGCACACAAACCAGAAGAGAGTACGGCAGGGAATAGTACTGAAGTCAATTAACAGCACATACTTAGAACTGTTTTCTTTGTCTTCTTCAAACTGTAATGACAATCTGTCGTTGCGTTCTTTTTCTGCTTCATAAAGCTCCATTAAACGCTAAAAGACAGCCTTCGATTAGACTGGGGGAAACTACACCTATAGCACAAGGCTGAGAACGGGGCTGGCACTGAGGCTAGACCAGGCATGAGGCAGGGGCCAGGCACTCTGCGCCCTTCACCAAGATGCCAGCCCAGATCCAGGACAAATTTCCAAGCCAACCCCTTCCCGACTTACACTCAGCTCACACGTCACAGTTTCACTTTCTTTCTTGTAGTTTTGGAGGCTTTTTGAAAGTTGGTCAACCTCAAACTTCATTACTTCTTGTAAGTTGTCGTAGGAGTCCTGCAGGCAGGCTTGGCTCTTGAGGAGTTTTTCATTTTCTAATCTTTACCAGGAAAACATTGTACAATGTAAGTTCAATGGACAGGCAATTTAGGGCAAGGCGGTTCATTCATGGGTTTCCAGCTGGGCACACTAGTTACTAATTCCCAAGAGTTTATAGCTCAACTTCAGCCAAATTCTTTAGCTTTAAGGTTTTGCAAGATAATAAATGTGGCTTTGATCTCAGCAATAGAGAAGCTGGCACAAAACTGCCTCCTGCATTTTTAGTTTCATGCGCTGGTTCCCTTCCCTGATATACTGTGTCACACCCAGGCACACAGAGCCCAGCCAAGGCCAGTGGACCACAGGATGCTACCCGATCCCGAAGAGATGTCTTAATGCGCACACAGAACCAGCAGACAATCCGACTCCCTGCACTGGACAACTCAGAGCACAGCAACAGAGCAGCTCTCGAAGTGGGATAAGTTCATGGTGAAAATTCAGATTCTCAGGAGAGAACGAGTGCGGCATATGTGCAGCAGAAAATGCTCCCCAGCCAGCCTGTTAGGTGACCAGGTAACATTTCCTGTTACTCCTCTCTCTTAGAAACAGCTGGCCACCACGAGGCATATAGTAAGAACAATCAAAGTCAGCCAAATCCTCTACCTCTGCCCTTCCTTCTTCAACTCCATTGAAACCTCCCTCCCTGGGCCTTTGGGGCCTGATATTTTGGGAATGATCCCGATCGGTGCCTATGAACGTAAAATAAATCTGCCTCCAAATCCTGGTGTCATTTCAGTGTTTCTGTTGCCGTTGCTTAGGACGTAGACAAAATGACAGGCAAAATAATTCAAGAAACACAGTGCAGTGCTGTGGTATTTCTCCAGTGGCTCTGACAGCCTCTGAGTGCCATGACCGAGAACAAGCAGTATAAAAGCAATTACTCAAGCAGAGACACTGAGAAAAATTAAATTGTTTCTAGTATCTTCACACAGCTGGGGTGTACTTTTTTTTTTCTTTTCTGTATTTAGGACAGGGTCTATAGGGTCTCACTAAGTAGACTGGACTCGTAGTGATCCACCTGTTTTCAGTCTCCCAAGTCTCAATCCCTGTCTCTGCACCCCTGGGGGCGGGGCCGGCACAGCAGGGTCGGGGCAGGGTGGGGATTGGAACCCCAGCCACTGTGCTCTGCCTAAGCAGGTGCTTTAGTCTGCTGAGCTATCAGGCTGGCCCTCCTTAATACATCTAAGACAGGATTTGAGTAGGTAGCTAAATAAAGTGGATCCTTCACAATTTTTATTCTAGTTCTACTCTATCAAGTAAACACAAAGAAATTAAGATCCAACAAGATTAAGTGAGTTTTAAAAACACATAGAACTACTCGGTAAAGCCAAGACCTCGTTCAGAGATGAAGCCCCATGTGTAAGGCGAGCACACACCTGTGCTAAGCGACCCCGCATCAGGAGGCTCTCACCCCCCCGCGGGCACCGCAGGAGACTACCTGACGCTGTCCAGCTGCAGCTGTGCGTGCAGGTGCCGCTCCGACAGCTGGCCCAGCTCTCTCTCCTGACTGTCTCGGAAGGCCCCGTACTCCAGTTTCACTGCAGACAGCTCCTTGTCAGCAGAGTGAAGAACCAGTCGCAGATCACGCACCTCACTTTTCAGAACTAAAAAACAAAAGTCCTCAAAAGGTTTCTTTCAGGTGATTTTGTAAAGCAGGGAAATCAATTAGTGGAGACACCACCTTTTACTAGAGAAGCCGAAGAGCTCAGAGCCCAGGACCAGGGAAACTTGCTTTGCTCTCTTCTCCCCAGCTCCTCATTCTTCCTACTTTCTACTGCAAAAGAGCTACATAGGTCTCTCACTTGTAGTCACTTGACTTTCCTAGATTTTCCTGTAGAATATGCACCAAAGCTCTTACTATAAGGAAAAAACTCCAAAAAAGAAAACAAAATCCAGGAGATTTAATATTTATGAAGTCATCTAATCTTAATTATTGACAATTTTTTGGTAACAGAACTTTACAATATGCTTAAATATTTCTAGTTTTCTACAGAAACCTTACGTGGAAAGTAAGTTAGGGAACTTTTTAGATGAAAGGAGGGCTTTGTTTTGTTTCAGCTAACTACTGCGAATACTTTGATGAAGGGAAAATAAACTGAAAAATAACAAAATGGGAATTAAATGATGCCCCCCACATCCACAAATGCGTGTATGTGTGTGTGTGTGTGTGTGTGTGTGTGTATACATATATACACAGGGTCTACAAGATTTTTCCTAGTCTTTTTGAATAGGGTCTCACTATGCAGTTCAGGCTGGCCTTGAATTCACTTTGTAGCCCACAGACTGGCCTCAAACTCGAAGTAATCCTCCTGCCTCAGCCTCTAGAGTGCTAGGATTATAGGAATGCATACCACATCTGGCAATTTATGCTTTTTTCTATCAATAGTAAAACATTTATCCAGTTATATCAAGATTTTTTTTTTTTTTTTTTTTTTAAAGACAGATTTTCACCGTGTAGTTCAGGCTGGCCTTAAATACACTAGATAGCGAGGGCTGGTCTGGAACTCCCAGTGATTCTCCTTTTTCAGCCTCCAAAGTGCTCCTAACACCCAGTTAGGAGACTTCATTTTGAAGGCAGTCAATTTATAACTTTAAGCAAACACTGACGTCATGTCATAGGGATGATGCTAGGGCTCATGGAGCCATCCTCCCAAGACCACACGTGCTCCTAGGTGGGGTTCTGGGGAGTAGCTGGGCCAGCTCACGGGCTGGCTTAGTGTAGTTCTGGGTACGGATGATGGACTTACTGAGGGGAGACCCAACCTGGTGGTGCTCTAGCCTGGATAAAGTGACAAGGACAAGGAGGAGGATGTTGTGCTGCTTCCTGCCCTCATGCCATGAGC